GAGAAATACAGAACCATGATATATATAGTTATGATTAATCTTTTAATTTACTTCACAAGTATAATAAAGTTATACTTGCCAAATAAAACACTATTTGCCAAAATCAGTCATTATCCATCTTTCTTTCCCTGCCAGGGACCTTGCTGCCTTTGACAAAAGCCATCATCAGGCCGTGCGTACCTACCAAGAGCACAAAGCAAGTATGCACCCCGTGACCGCCATGCTGGTGGGGAAAGACTTAAAAGTGGATTAAGGACCTACCAACTGCTGATTTCAGATAGTTCTCTTTTTTAAACCTAATTCACGAAGAAATATACAAGTTCAGCTCATATGTAACTAAAAATGTTGTTTTTGTTCTGGCTTTTTATTGTTTTGTCAGTGATTTTCATAAATAAAGCTGAGCTACCTTCCCCCCCACACCCCCACAGGGGCCATGTTCTTTGTAAAGTGCATTTTAGCAAAGTTTAACCTTTTAATTCATAAATGTAGAATTTTTCATTACTTACATATTTATTTTTCCCAGCATGATCACAAGAGTGTCAGCATAGTATTTACCTGGTATTTTAAGTTCTTTAAGTTCTTTAATTTTAAGTTCTTTTAATTATTTAAGTTCTTTAATTTTAAATATTTTAAGTTCTGCCACATGCCAAAAATTCAACATGACAAGAGTTTTGCTTTTTTTTTTAAGTTTCAATATTCAAATTATTTAGAATTTACATACACTGACCCTGCAACTCATCTTCTAGTATTATTATTATTTTTTAAAGATTTTATTTATTTATTTGACAGACAGATCACAAATAGGTGGAGAGGCAGGCAGAGAGAGAGAGGAGGAAGCAGGCTTCTCACTGAGCAGACAGCCCGATGTGGGGCTTGATCCTGGGAGCCCGGGAGCATGACCCGCGCCGAAGGCAGAGGCTTTAACCCACTGAGCCACCCAGGCGCCCTGAGAGGTTTGCTTTTTAAACAAGATGAGCACTCAGTTGGATTTGCTCACCCAGGTACTCAGTGGGCATGGCCTAAGTGCACTGTCTAAAATGTATAAACTCGGGGCAACTGGGTGGCTCAGATGGTTAAGAGTCGCCTTGGGCTCAGGTCATGATCCCAGCATCCTGGGATGGAGCCCCACATCAGGCTCCTGGCTCAGCAGGGAGTCTGCTTCTCCCTCTCCCTCTCCCCCTGCTCATGCTATCACTCTGTCTAAAATAAATAAATAAAATCCTTTAAAATGTATAAACTCTCTGGGGAACATTGTGCTCTCCCCCCCCCGCACCGATCCACCCGTGTCCCCACTGGACTTGTCCTGCCCTCCTGTCCGTCAGGGTCAGATGGTGGCCCCGAACCCCAGGACTTCCCATCAGTCCCTCTGATACTCTCCTGTCTAACCTGATTCATCCCCTTAATGGGCACCAAACATCCTTCACCCATGTAGCGCGTACAGCACACAGAAGGCAATAATACAATGATTATATCTATTATATACACATATAATGCATACTGGGAATAATAGGACGACTTGAACCAAATAAGACAGTAACAAAGCATCCCGTGAGTACATTGTAGCACCCCAGGGCACCTCAGCACACAGCCTGGGAACCACAGTTGTATTAGGATTCTTTGACTCTAAGTGACAAAACCCAAATGATCAGAAATCAGAAAAGGAAAAGGGAGGATTAAAGATACAGGGGAGGGGGAGGTTGTCAGAATGACAGACAGAAGAGGGCTGACACCCAGAACTGTCAAGCGAGCCATACTCTCTTGTCTCTCATTTCTGCTTCTCTCCTCCATACTGTGGAGTCTGGCTACCCTCCAGCTTTGCTGCTGTAAACAGTTCTTATCCCGCGGGAAGACTGTCTCGGTACCCGATTCCCAGAGGTGGGACTCAGCTTGAGTCCACACCGACCAAATAACCTTTAGCAAAAAGAATGGTGTCTTAGAGTATAAGCGTGGGTGGGGTGTCATTAAATACACAGGAGTGCTAATGCATATGACAGAAGTCTTAAAATAGGAGCAAACACCCCAAAAGTGGGGCAGGTCTCAAAGACCAGATTCCTGTCCGTCCCTGTAATGCTGAGCTACTCCTATGCTCACTGTCCCTAGCCCTTCTCTCCTGGACACATCCACACCGCAGTGGTTCTGTTTCTCAACGCTCTGTTCTCATTTGTCTTCCATGGCGAGAAGACCACAGGGGGAGAGTTCAGCTCACATCCCTAGTATATAATCAAGTTCTACGTGATTAGACTTCAGCCAACCCACGGACTCAGATGATGCTTTTGAAGGCTTCCCTGGCCCCAAAAGCTTTTCCCGTGCTCTGGGCTAATGTCACGTTCCTGTGATCACTGATGAATGAGCCAGGAAGTGAACCGGGGCCCGGGCCCCCGCAAGGGCAGTGAAGGAGGCTGTGAAGAAGGTAGAGGGCACTAGAGACACACGTCAGCACAGGTTCACCCCGGGCAAGCTCAGTGGAGTCCACATTTAGACAACTTCAGCTACTAAGCATATCATGAGTGTCTTTGTGCCAGGCTGGGATATACACATAATTTCTGGGTGAACAAAGAGAAGCAATTTCTATATATGGCTAGAGCGCAAATACGCTAAAGCAACCTGGGGAAGGGGCACTTAATCCAACCAAAGGGTTTAGGGAGTGCATCCTGGGGAAGAGAGGGCCTACACTGAGGCTTATGAGATAAGAAAGACCTAGCTAAGCAAAGGAAGTTGCAAGTGTGTTCCAGATGGATAAAGGGTAACAGAAGTACGGGTATAGGTATATACACAATGTCGAGGGCATGAACTTGGAATCTTCAAACTCACACCTCTGGGAGGTGGTAGCATCTGGAGGCTTCTTCCTTCACATGTCTGATGTCTGGCCTAAGATTATGTGAAAGCTGGGCTCAGCTGACACTGGCCCATGGAATGCCCAAATAGTTTGGGTTTTCTCACAGCACAGTGGATACTTCGACATCTTATTAGTCTTCTCTATGAGTGGATCCATCACCCGAGAGTAGCACCATGAAGGCAGAGAATGGTTCATTCCCTAGCACCTAGCAGAGTGCTTGGGATATAACAGGTGTTTGAGAACTAGTTGTTGGCTGAGTGAATGGAGGAGGGTAGAAAGTTGCACTTCACATCTAAGGTCCTCTGTTTTCTCAGAGAGGTAAGAGGTAAGATCCGCCTCTGAAAATTAGAGGAGATGGATGTTGAGAAGCAGGGTGAATGTTCTGGAAACTTGCTGAGGGAGAGGGGCATGTAGAAAGACAGTGCCGTGATGTACACCATCATATAACTTTCTGTAGCAGAACCTTCCACCAGGGTAAACAGATACCAGTTTGTTGTGATGACCCAGGGGTTGAGTTTTACTCAGTGCAGGCATAGGTTTAGGGTTATAAAAGGATTTCAAAGTGCTCAGGAAAGAGTGGCCCAGGTAAGCAACTAGGACACCAGCTTCCTAGGAAAGAAAGTGAGTTGGGAAATGGAGTGAAGAAAGGAGGAGCCAAGCAGACAGAGGTCAGGTCCAAGGACAAAGATGAGTGAAGGAAGGGGAGAACCAGAAGGCTAGAAGGTCACAGTCAGAAGATAGGGTATTGGAATTTAAGATCTCTTAGGTGCATTAAATTCAAGTGGTGACGAATTCCAGAGTGTGGTCAGGATGTGGGTGACTGAAATGCAAGTTTCAAGGAGGGGTAGCTCGCTCTTTGTACGCTTCTCAGGAAGCTGTCAGGGAAAGAGAGATTCTGGGTGTTGGTGTTTTCTGTGAACAACCATGTCTCTATTCCCAGCACAAGTCAGTTTTAGTGGAAACACATGTCAAGATCTTTCTGTTGCACTAATCCAATCTCTAGAAACTGGCTTATTACTAAAATGCTGCTTAGTTACAACAGGGCCCACATTTCTTTGATTCCTTTTTCATGCTTTTCAGACTTCCTTAATCTACTGGTAATGAAGTAGATTGGGTGCAGGGAGCAGTTAACTGCTGAAGATGTTTAACTGGATTAGGGATATCCATGTACCAAGATGAAAGAACATTTAGAAGGCAATATAGGTATACAGAGCATTGGAGTGCAAATAATAGTAATCACAAACACTTCTGGAACATTCCCAAGGCACCATGTGCTGCACTAAGGGCTTTACATATACAAACTCACTTAATCCTTCCTAAAGCCCTTTGAAATAGGTGCTATCATTATCTCCAGCTTATAGATGAAGAAACTGAGACCCCAAGAAATCAAATAACCTGCCCAGAGGTCACACAGCTAGTAAATGGCAGAGCCAGAACTGGGTCCCAAGGAGATACTGCAAATACAGCATTGAGGCAGTCTACCTCTTCCATTTTGAAGAAGAAACAGAGGTTAATTAATAACTTCACTTGCTCCAAGCTAAGAAATAGTGGAGCTGGAGTTCTACCCAAGGCTGTGTGAGCTGTTAACTTCTGAGCCAGAATAGCTCACTCATCCAGATGGTGACCTTTCCTTGTGAGAATGATCTCTGACTTTTGCAGTCTCCCTTTGTGGGGGAACAGCTTTAGAAAACCTTGGTGGTGACAGGGAGTAGTTGCTCAACACATGTTTGTGGAATAAACAAAAAAATGAAGATTACCACACTCCCTGGTGTCACAGTGGACCAGAAGGTGCATTTTACAGTTGAGTAATTCCAGATAAAAACAGGAACATGGCGTTTATAAGCTGCCCTCAGTGGAGAACACAGAAGCCAGGGGAGGGAGAAATTGGGGGCCCTGAGGAGAACGGCACCCAGCAGGCACTGGCACCCCCAGCATGGGAGAAGCCAGGGCTTTGTGTGAGCAGGGCTACCCTGCTCGGCCTCTCCTGCCTGGAGCTCAGCTGTGAAAACTCAAAGGGACACTGGTATGGCCCTCAATAAATATTTGTCCAATGTGTGGATGAGTAAAGGCAAGAGAGGGGGCGTGTTTTGGAAGTCCATCCCTTTCCTCCCAGCCAACCACACCTCAGTAGTCACTCCCAGATAAAACTCTCCCCACCCGGCAGCCACCACAGGCAGAGGAACTGGTGTCAGGGTCCCCTTGGGACACGGAGCCATGCCCAGGTACACGGTGCACGTGCGCGGAGAATGGCTGGCCGTGCCCTGCCGGGATGCGCAGCTCACCATTGGCTGGCTAGGCCGTGAGGCTGTCAGGAGGTACATCAAGAATAAGCCAGATAATGGTGGCTTTGCCTCGGTGGATGATGTGCACTTCCTCGTGCGCCGGTGCAAGGGCCTGGGCCTGCTGGACCACGAGGACCTGCTGGAAGTGGCCCTAGAGGACAACGAGTTTGTGGAAGTGGGTGAGTGGCCGAGTCCATGCGTGCCCGGGAAGGAGGCTCGGCGGCCACCCCCCCCCCCCCCCCCCCCGGGCATGTGCGGTGGGCTGCGGGCGGGCACACGCCTGGGAGAGGGGAGGCTTCCCATTCACCTGTTATAGCAAGGCCACAGACCCTGAAACGAGCTGACTTCCCTTGTCCCTGGTATGCCATAGAGGCTGCGTTCGAGGGGGGTGGGGTGCAGGTGAGAGTTTGAACTGCCGTTTAAACCCTGCCCACACCTGACACCTGCATCTCTACCTTTTGCTCTCCTCCTTGGAAAAGACACTAAGAGCACTTGAAAGCCCGTGAGGTTGTTCTAAAGCAGCCATTTCTATAGAAGTGAGAGGCAGTGGAACAGTGGTCTCCTGGTTTGCCAGCAACGCTGAAGGAGCCTCTCCCTTGCCATCTGTAAAGGAGCCTCTCTGGTATTCTCGTTTCAGTTATAGAAGGCGACGCCATGTCTCCCGACTTCATCCCATCACAACCAGAAGGAGTTTACCTGTATCCTTCCCTGCAGGCTGGCTGGTCTGCTCTGGGGGCTACTCCTGCCCGGGACGGGGCAGGGGCTTTCTCACACTCCCCAGTGTTTTCCTTTACCTGGCTTCAGATATAGCAAGTACCGAGAGCCTGAAAAGGTAAGCTTCAAGCCAACACTCTTTTTGTAAAGAAAATGAAGTCGTGCTCATTTCTGGAGGGTTGGGGCCTGCAGAATTTATGACCAAATGCTATCAGGCTTTATCCTGCTCTGTGAAGTTAGGAAAAGGTATTATGCTTATTTCTTGCTTTCTTTATTCAGCCTCTTCTAGACCAAGCTTTTTCACTAGCACATTAATGTTTCAGAGCAGAAATAAAATCTCTTGAGTGTCAAAATTCAGTTCTGCTTGAGGCTTCCCTACTCTCTTGGTCAAGCAGCCCAGTTGCTCAAGCTCACCGAGGTCCCCTTCTTTTGTGTAGTACATTGCCTTAGATGGGGACAGCCTGACCACAGAGGATCTGGTCAACTTGGGGAAAGGACGCTACAAAATAAAGGTACCAGGGAGGGTGGGAGGGATGTCCTCTGACCTTTTTCACTGCATATGGGAGCCTTCAACATGCTCAGCTTTGACCAATGTTTTCCTAGCTCACCCCAACTGCTGAAAAGAAGGTGCAAAAATCCAGGGAAGTCATAGATAGCATCGTGAAAGAAAAAACTGGTATCTTTTTCTCTTTGTGTACACAATTCTTTTTATTGACTTAAAAAAAAAATGACCTGCATCTAATGGTACCATGTCTTTTTGTTGTTTTTTCTTCCCCCTAGTTGTTTATGGTATAACTACAGGTTTTGGGAAATTTGCCAGAACTGTAATTCCTGTCAATAAGCTAGAGTAAGTCTGATCCCCCTTCCCCCCAACAAACGTACATTCACATGCCACCTGTCCCCATCTTTGGAATTTCTTTCAACAAGAAACGTAATTAACATTTGCCCCAATTTCCAGATGAGGAGGATAAGGCTCCTGTTCACTTGCATACGAGTTGGCATTGAAAACACAGGCTTACTGCTCTCTTCCATCGCATCACACTGCCTTATTCTGTCTCTCCAAAGATTCACCTGTTCTTCCCTTCATTTCTGCAGCTGAGGGGACACTTTCACTGCGAGGTCTCTAAGAGGGGTTTTCCCTTTCTCTTCCAGAGAGCTCCAGGTCAACTTAGTACGTTCACATTCTTCAGGTAAGTCATTTCAAACATCAAATGACTTCTAGTCTTGTTTGATTTGGTTATTAAAGCACAGCACAGTGCAAGTCATCCTTTAACAGCCGCGAGTAGCTAGTGCATCCTGAAAACTCATGCCAGTTCTGCTTCAGGGGAGGAAGGGAAGCAGAAAACGTCAGACAAGACCACCTTTCAGCTGAATCTCAGGGAAGGAATGGGCCAAGTGGAGGGATGGGGTTGGGGCAGGAGCATGTACATGGCCGTGCCAACACAGTGGTGGGTTCAGGGAAGGAGTGAAGGCTGGAACTCAGGGAATGAGTTGATCAGGATGAGGTGAGATGGAAAAGTCTGTCAAGAATCCGAGCTAGTTGCTATTCTAAGGGTGTTGGGGAAGGTGGGGCTCACTGAAACATTCTAGGAAAGAGAACCAAAAAGACAAAACTGGGGTTTCCCATTTTTCTAGAAGATGGGATTTTAAGAAGCAGGACAGTCAGGAAAGAGAGCAGTCCAACTATCTGAGTCAAGAAGAGACAGGTGGTAGGAGACTGGACTGAACTGGGAAAAGATTTGAAAGATGGAGATAGAAAGGACTTTGATTTTCTAGGAAAAAAACATCAATTCTGTTTTGCAGGTGTTGGGAAACCACTAATCCCTGAGAGATGTCGGATGCTCTTGGCTTTAAGGATCAATGTCTTAGCCAAGGGGTACAGTGGCATTTCCCTGGAGACCCTCAAGCAAGTTATTGAAGTATTTAATGGTAATGCCATGGATCCCCAGGTTGACCCTCCATTGAGGCTGGGCATGTACCACAGGCACTCTTGGTTGATGGCATAGGGAGGAATTAGCAGAGACAAGATGACATAAAATAATGGAGACGAATGGAAATGGGCTTGGTGAGGAGAAGGATAACTGGGGGGGTGAGGGTGGGGACAGAGACATTTAATCCTTTGTACCTTTAACTCATTCTTCATCACCTTTCACTTAGTATTTGTACCTTTAAGTCTGGAACAAACCCCTCATGTCTGTCCCTGAGCTTAAAGCTGGAGAGAACCTTGAACTCTATGATGCCCCGATGTGGTTAGAGAAGTTGCATCAAATCATCTGGGAAACACCATGATTCCTAGATGTTCATCCCAAAGACCATTTCAGTAGTTCCATTTAGTGTCTAGGAATCTGAAATCTTAATGCTCCCCAGATGGTGGGTTAGCCAGACTTAAATAACTGCAATTCAACTTCTTGCAAAGATAGAACGGAAGTGTAAAGAGATCAAAGGCTTTTGGACCAGGAAGCCATCTGGTGCCAGGATACAATGCAGTTCCGCTCTTTGGAGCTTCTCAGGATAGAAAAAGTCCAACATGGAGACAAGATTTGAAATGCTTGGGAGGCCACTATCCCTTCTCACAGATAAGGATGAACAGAATAGGTCAGTGCAGGCTCAGGAAACTCTTTGGGGTGAAGTTATAAAGGTATATAGGGCACCTCTGGGTGCCTAGAGTTCTGAGAATTCCCTTGGGTGAACCATGATCTGGAAGCTGGCCTATGGATGGCACTTTATCCTACTGACATTATTTAGCAGTTGGAAAACACACTGTTATTAAGAATCTGAGTTTACTTTAGAAAAAAGAGGATTTTTTTTTTCTTGGTAACTGAGAATTTCCTCCAAAGCAGTACATGTCTGTTTATAAGTGGTGGTGAGGTAGCAGGCTGGGTGCCTAGGAATCTGGGCCAAAAAAAAAAAAAAAAAAAAAAAAAAAAAAAAAAAAAGAGACTACGTTCCCTAAGCTTACCTCCTTAGAGAACCCCTGTGAATACTTTGGTTGTGTCTTACCCTTCTAGAACATTTTATATTACTTTTCTGGTATAAATATTTACATGTTTCCAAACATTCTCCAATGACTTTTCTTTTTTTCTCCCAATATCTTTTAATGGCTACACACACTCTTTGGCCATATGGTCCCTTAATTCCATATTTAGATCGTTTCTAACTTGTTCTTAGGAACAAGACTGTAATGAACAATAGCTAGTTCCTGATCTTTAAGATATATTGCTACAATTTCTAAAAATTTCTAGGTCTGAGTAGACCATACACAGTGAATACAAAGGGGTAGAGAACCAAGAAAGAGGAAAAAGTTAAAGGAATAGATGATCCTTATGGTGATGGGGGTCACCTTTCTTCCATACAGCCTGATCTGGTTTGTTTCTCTATATACAGTGTACCCCCAACCACCGTCACACAGCAAATCTGAGTATGTCCTGGCTAAAATATGTAATGCTTTCCATTGTCCTGAGGATAGAGTCTACAGTCTAAACTTTAAGAAAATATGTATTTCCTATGCTGTACCTTTCATCATCATGACTTACTCATTCCATAAATGCAAGCCTATACCCCTTACTCTCCCCTTCACCCATTTTTCCCAGTGCCCCCACCTCTGTCAACCATCAACTCATTCTCTATATTTAGGAGTCTGTTTCTGGTTCTTTTGTTTTGTTTTGTTTTGTTTTAGATTCCACATATAAATGAAATCACCCAGTATTTATCTCTGTCCTATTTAACATAAGACCTACTGGGGTCCATCCATGTTGTCACAAATGGCAAGATCTCATTGTTGGTTATAGCGGAGTAATATTTCATTGTGGGTGTGTATACATACATGTATATATGTATATACATATATACCTACACATTACCTATTCCTTATCCATTCATCTATCAATGGATGCTTGGGTTGCTTTCATATCTTGGCTCTTGTAAATAATGCTACAGTAAACATAGGGGTGGCATGTATCTTTTCAAATTAGTGTTCTAATTTTCTTTGGACCCAATATTGGAATTACTGGATCATATGGTATTTCTATTTTTAATCTTTTGAGACTCCATATTGTTTTCCAAAATGGCTGCACTACTTTGCATTCCCACCAACAGTGCCCAAGGGTTTCCGTTTCTCCACTTCCTCATCAACACTTGTTTTTTCTTGAGTTTTTTATTTTAGCCATTCTTCCAGGTGTGAGGTGATAGCTCACTGAGGTTTTGATTTGCATTCTCCTGATGATGAGTGTGCTGAGCATTTTTTTAATGTGTCTGTTGGCCATCTGGATGTCTTCTTTGAAAAGATATCTATTCAGGTCCTCTGCCCATTTTTTAATTGGACTATTTGGTTTTTCTGAAGTTCTATAAGTTCTTTTTCTATTTTGGATATTGACTCCTTACCAGACATATCATTTGCTAACATCTCCCTTTCAGTAAGTTGTCTTTTCATTTTGTTGATGATTTCTTTCATTGTGAAAACATTTTATTTTGGTATAGTCCCAATAGTTTACTTTTGCTTTGGTTTCCCTTGCCTGAGGATCCATATCTAGAAAAATGTTGCTAAGACCAATATCAGTAGTTATTGCCTGTTTTCTTCTCGGAGTTTTATGGTTTCTGGTCTCACATTTAGGTCCATTTAGACATAATTTTTGTGTATGGTGTGAGAAGGTGACCTAGTTTTCCCAGCACCGTTTATTGAGAAGACAACCTTCCCCACTGTATATTCTTCCCTCCTTTGTCCTAGATTTATTGGTCATATATGCATAGATTTACTTCTGGCTGACTATTCTGTTCCATTGATCTGTGTGTCCATTTCTATGTCACTATCATACTGATTTGATTACTACAGCTTTGTAGAGCATTTTGAATTCTGAGATTGTGATACCTCCAGCTTTGTTCTTTTTTTCTCAAGGTTGCTTGGACTACTGGGGTTTTTTGTGGTTCCATACACATTTTAGGATTCTTTGTTTTAGTTTGTGAAAAATGCCATTGGTATTTTGGTAGGGATCACATTGAACCTATAGATTGTTTTGGGTGGTATGGACATTTTAACAATATTAATTCTTCCATTCCATGAAATATACCAATTTTTTTGTGTTGGCTTCAACATCCTTCGTCAGTGTTTTATAGTTTTCAGAGTACAGGTCTTTACAGTCTAAACTTAAAGTGGCTACAAGAGATGGCTTTTTGCAACTGGGAGGGTGCTCCTTCCAGCCCATCCCCCTTATTCCCCTCTCCCCTTTTTTTTTTAATAGCAGCTCAGTCAGGTCCCTTAAGCACTAGTTGTGCTTTCCCCCGGTATTTGTGTCACAAAGCGACACTAGCTCCTTCTTGGGGAGGTTGGTCTCACTGGTAAAGTGAAGATAGCCAGAAATAACGGGTGCCTCCTTCTCTCCCAGCCTCCTGCCTGCCCTATGTTCCAGAGAAAGGAACCGTTGGCGCCAGTGGAGATCTTGCCCCACTGTCTCATCTTGCTCTTGGGCTCATTGGAGAAGGGAGGATGTGGTCTCCAAAGAGTGGCTGGGCTGATGCGAAATACGTAAGACTTTCCGAACAACTTCCATCCACGGTAGTTTCCCTAAGCCGGACGCCGGCTACGGGTGCCTGCTTCATAGCATTGAGTCCTTATGGCAGCCCCGTGAGGGAGCCACCTTTATCCCTGTTTCATAAATGAAAACTGGAGCTTACGAGTCAAACTAGGCGAGGCTCTAAGCTCCCATTCTTTACCATCGGGCTTCTGGACTTGGTGGTCACCTTGGTGAATAGGTACAGTGACCAGTGTGGATCCCAGCAATTTGTTCTGCAACGAAAACTCTTCTGGGGCCTATCCAGGAGGTCACACACTGGTGGGCATTTATTGAGTTGCTGGTCTCACAGTGCAGAGCCATGGCTCACAATCCTGACTGTATGGCCTCTGGACAGCTGGTTCCATTTCCCCCCAAGCTCCTACCCCAGTGGTGAATCAGAGGGCTCGTTTTTGGTAAAACCTTCATGTCTTCCTCATCTATCTCCAGATTCCACCAGAGCAGCCCACAGCATTATTTGACATGTTAGCTCAGGTCAACTGCTGACAGGTCCCCTCAGTGAAGGGGCAGAGGACCAAAGGGGAGGAAGAAGTTAAGGGAACAGATAATCCTTGGCGGGATATAGGTTCCAGATCACCTTTGTTCCCTACAGCCTGTCCTTTATTTCTCTGTGTACAGTGTTTGCCCAGCCCCCTTCACACAGCACATTCCAGCATGTCCTGGCTTAAGCCTGTAATGCTTCCCATTGTCCTTAGAATAAGGTCTAAACTCAGCGTGGCTTCTAAGAGTCTCGTTGGTCGAATTCCTCCCCCTCGGTTCTAGAGTGGGATGTGCTGTGTCTGGGACAGAGGGACCAACACATGCTCATTCTTCTCTTTCCCACTCCCTCCTGCTCCTCCTCCCTCCAAGGAGTCCTCTGGGTCTTTCCCCTCCCCTCCAAATGCCTTGAACCCCATCCTTTCTGCTCTCCTAGCATCTTCAGTGCTCATTTTCCAGCAAACCCCATGCACTTCCTTCCCAGATTGCTTAACATATTCTCATTCTGGAATTGCCCCTGAGCTACTCTGTCTCAATTTTCCTAGGCCAGCCCTAGGCTTACCCCTCAAAACAGTCTGGTAACAAGTACCCCCAATACACTTGTGAAGTGGACACGGTGAATGGTGCTGACTCTGCCTTCCTTCCTTCCTTGAGGGTCCTTAGCACAGTGACTGTTTCACCTCCTTTATTTGGGAGAAGATAATTCTGCCAGTGCTTAGATCAGTAGGCTGAGGGTGGAGGACTTTTTAAGTCAAGCTCTGGAGGCAGAGAATTGCGGACAGTTGGGAACAAAGCCTCAGTACAGTAGAGGTGCTCGTCTGTGCTGAGGAAGCAGCAGGAGAAAAAGTGAGTCCCTAACGTGGAAGCTGAGTACAAAGGACCTAGAAACCCAAACGCAGGGTTATATCCTCAGACACTAAAGCCCCTGCTTTAAGTATAAAAATTACGTGAACTAGAAGTCAGCTTTCAGACTAAAGAATAGAACAAGAGAGTAGACCAGAGTAGAAGAACAGAACCGATTTATGTAGGTCTAACCTTTATAAGACAGATCTTTAGGCTTAAGGATATTTTATCAATTCCTTGTGAAATTGGAAATAGAAAAAATGAAATTCGAAATTCATTTGACACCCATTTTTATCTTCTTAATCACTTTGCAGGTCCTGGAAGCTCATGGATTGAAACCAATTGTTTTGAAACCGAAAGAGGTAAAGAGATTCGAGGAAGATTTCCTCATTTTAACAAGTCTTTATTTATAGACTATGTTCAGTCTTCATATCCGTCTGACTGGTTTCTTAAAGTAAATGTGGCTTTCATGTCTGTTTAAAGTTTGTCCCTGAAGAAAGGACTCCTCCCCAAGCCTTCAAAAGATTCTTCATGCTGCGGATGCTTAGGGGTTCTCTTACCTAAGAATGTAAACTCCAAATCAGGATCCCTAAGGATCCCTAACAGATGCTTTGAGTCAAGATCCCTTGGGTGCTCTCCACCAAGAATCTTGGACCAGAAATGTCTTAAGATGTCTTGTCCACAATGAGGACCAGTGAAAAAAAAGGAGCCTCGTTAGGAGCTGAAGATTTTTTTTTTTTTTTTAAAGATTTTATTTATTTATTTGACAGACAGAGATCACAAGTAGGCAGAGAGGCAGGCAGAGAGAGAGGAAGGGAAGCAGGCTCCCTGTTGAGCAGAGAGCCCGATGCGGGACTCGATCCCAGGACCCTGAGATCATGACCTGAGCCGAAGGCAGCGGCTTAACCCACTGAGCCACCCAGGCGCCCGGAGCTGAAGATTTTATATGCAGTCTACCCTGGAGGGCCATGGCTGCCTTGAGAACGGGGACATTAACACGTATTTCACTTGCCAGGTCTATGCTAACCAGTTCACAGATGATGGCACTTAATCTTCCAGTGCCTACTAAGCATTCCTGCCCTGCACTTTCAAAAACATAAATAAATGTCATTCAGCTGACAGGTTAACTCTTCTCTTACGGAAGCAAAAGATATGAAATCAGCTTGAACGTGGGTTACAACAACTACCACAAAGGACTTCTCTCTTCCTTTCCAAAGGGCCTGGCGCTCATCAATGGGACACAGATGATCACCTCCCTGGGCTGTGAAGCCGTGGAGAGAGCCAGTGCTATTGCACGCCAGGCCGACATCGTGGCGGCCTTGACCCTGGAAGTGCTGAAAGGCACCACCAAAGCCTTCGATACGGGTCAGCATGGCTCTTCCACTGGGTTACTGTTCAGTCGGCCAGAGCTGGTTGGGTGGGCTGGACCCGGTCTTTAGACATGAGAGTGGTGGGGGTGGATGGTAGGGGAAAAGGAAAATCCCCAAGTCCCTATGGCATACACAGTATTGCTACAGCTTCCTCTAAGTGATGCCACACTTGATCTTGAAATGACCCCATTTTACAGACAGATGCTCCCTCTAGAGTTGACCCAGAATTCCGGATCACTCAGGTCTGACTCCCATCCAACTGTGCGCGTCTTAGGAATCCGTTCACAGGGTTTTAGAATTAGAGTAGGATTAGCGTTGGTCCCCATTAGAAAATTGGGAGGGAAAAACTACAGAAGTTGTAGCTTACCGGGAAAGTGGTGAATTTGAAAGACTCCCTACCATTCTAGGTAGTAGGACAGAAAAACAGTCTAAAAAGGATTGAAAACTATCAGAAATTGGCCCCTATGGAGCTCCCTTCCATTATCAGCCTAAATCTTTTTAGGGTCAGCCCAGGGTCTTGAGTTAAATTCCCAGTGGGCTCCACACATATTTGCACCCAGACATTGAAAGCAGAAAAAATGCGGTCAGTGAGGAAAATCTTGCTTTTGGAGTTAAGCTTCTGAGCGCTGGTAAGCGGCTCTGGGACTTTTGAGGGCTTGTGTCAGCACTGTGGATGGTCCTGACCCATCGATGGTAGTTCATTCTAATGCAAGAATTGCTCAGACTGTTTCTCTTTCATCAATTCTAGACATTCACGGGGTTCGCCCTCACCGTGGGCAAATCGAAGTTGCTTTCCGGTTTCGGTCACTCTTGGACTCAGATCACCACCCATCTGAGATAGCAGGTCTGGGCGTGTTCATGTGAGTGAGCTTATGTGGTGCTGTGTTTTGTGGGGAAAAAACTGACCACGTGTCCCTTGCCGTCCCCTTCCGCAGAGAGTCACAGGTTCTGTGATCGTGTTCAGGATGCGTACACCTTACGCTGCTGTCCACAGGTAAACCAACAAAACAATCTTTTCTTTTTTCCAATTCAGGGCACAAAACAGAAAAAGAGGAGTGTTAAAAAGTCATGTAATGTTCAGTTATAATCCAAATTTCTTTACTGCCTTTTTTAAACATTTTTTTTAAAGATTTTATTTATTCGACAGACAGAGATCACAAGTAGGCAGAGAAGCAGGCAGAGAGAAAGAGGAGGAAGCAGGCTCCCCGCTGAGCAGAGAGCCCGATGCGGGGCTCGATCCCAGGACCCTGAGATCATGACCTTAGCCGAAGGCAGAGCAGAGGCTTTAACCCACTGAGCCACCCAGGCACCCAGGCACCCCATTTACTGACTCTTTAAAAAGTTACTCGTATCATACTTCATTTGTCCGGTCATCGCAGAGCTTCTATTCTCTAGGATAAGCTGTTTCCTTTTGAATTGCGTTGCTCAATTCTCTTGTACAGAAGCACAAGAGACAACTTGTTGTGTTGGTTTAGTGACATAACTTTTAAAAATTCTTAGTAATAAACATCATCCTAACCCGTTAATGGAATTTTAACTGGTTCTCCCTTTTGGATACCACAAGAACCAGCCTGACAGAGATGGCCACAGGAAGGGCGAATCATAATTCAAGGGCACATCATGGTTGTAACTTATCTGCATTTGATCAGCAGATATAAACCATCATAAATAAATCTGTGAGGCTTAACTTTAGTTAAAACAACGCAGAAGACCTGAGCTGGCATGAGGTGTTCAGCATCGCAGATGTTACTGCTTGTTTGTGTGTGGCAATTAGTTGGATGAGAGATTAATATACTTCTCAAGAATGAAACAATATTTCATTTGGTGCCAGACTCTAGTCTAGAGTGTAGTAAAGAATCCTCCCCAGAGCAAACACCCACATTTCCTTTGACTCAGCAAGTTCCCATTCTAGCTAGGTGATCGGAAACATCTACCGGAAAGAATTGCTAAGTTAGCTTTATAGCCCAAGTAAATCCCAGTTTAAATCTCGCTTCCTTGCTATCCTAATAAGATCCTTGCTATTCTAAGACAAACATCAGACTCCGTGTGACAGACACCATTATCCATGTTTTCAACGTATTCACTCATCTGATCTTGTATTTTAGGTCCACGGTGTGGTGAATGACACGATAGCGTTCGTGAAGAACATCATTACCACAGAACTTAACAGCGCAACAGATAATCCTGTATCTTTTGACTGCGTACTAAGCTGTAGCTGTAGAATTCCAGCTGGTGATTTTTAGATCCACTGAAGTGATCGTCTTGTGTCGCATCTCTGTTCTGTCACTCCCTTTAATAGACTAAGTACCTGAAGTTCGGAGGGTAAGTGACAGAGGCAGGTCTGTGAACCTAATTTCACTTCAGAATCTAACATGCTTTGCTTTCCCAGTGGACCCATTCAAGGCTAAAGGATGTATTTCCAGCATTGGCTGAGAGAGTTCAGGAAGATGTTTGCCCTAAAATCCAGGGCTGAGATTGCTGATAGAGGATGAAGATGTATGTCACAAGTGGGATTGTGGGGACCCCGCCCAGGCTGGCATTTATGCAAGCCTTCCTGGTTCTAGAGACACATTAGACAGAAGGCAACTTGTTAACACTTACCAAAATATTGTCAAGGAGTTATGGCTTTCCCTACCTCAAGTTTTTATTTTGACATGGATTTTACTCCGATCAGTGTTTCTAAATTTTACGTAGTAAGAACGCTTCCATTTGTCAAAGATAGAGCCCTTCTTTCCTTCATGGTGTGGGTATCGCAGAGCCATCTTATTTCTGCTTGGGAATGTTCTTTGATGGTGTAGTTCCCTCCAGATGTTGATGTGATCTGTCAGGAGTCACACTGGCAAAGTCTTCACAGAGATACTCAATACTGCCTTTGAAGACCACCCAGGCCCTTAGCAATATATCTTTCCTATCCCACATCTGCCTCAGTTCTCAACACTGGAGAAAGTGCTGAGTTAACAACTTTGGAAGCCATTCCTAGCTGAGGTGAGCAGACGGGTTTCACAGCAGCTGGGTAAGACTGATTTATCACAGGACCTTGCCAGTGTGGTTTCTCTGATAAGCTTACTTCAGGATGTGTGTTTTATGTCCTCAGTGTCAGGTCGTTTTACAGTTAAGTCAGACCCACACTAAATAATTCTCAACTCACTCACCTCAACACCACTACGCACTGGGCTGCCCCAAATGGAGTAGACCTCTCTCTGCCTGCTTGTGATCTCTGTCAAATGAATAAATAAAATCTTAAAAAAAAAATTAAAAAATAAAGATTCTTAATTATCAATGAATTTCCAATAAGGTACTATTTGGGAATTCCCCTGCAATATTGGTGTTAGTTGAAAGAATATTCCTCTCAATTTTTCTATTGTAGAAATAGAGCACCTATTAGACAGTTGCTAGATGTTATAGGGGATAAATTCTTTTTTTTTTTTTTTTTTAAGATTTATTCATTTCACAGAGAGAGATCACAAGCAGGCAGAGAGGCAGGCAGAGAGGCAGGCAGAGAGAGAGACAGAGGAGGAAGCAGGCTCTCCGCCGAGCAGAGAGCCCGATGCGGGACTCGATCCCAAGACCCTGAGACCATGACCGGAGCCGAAGGCAGAGGCCCAACCCACCGAGCCACCCAGGCGCCCCTAGGGGCTAAATTCTGATTGCTTTACTCGGATTGCCAACAAACAAATTTGGAACAACTGGAGAACAATTGACATGCTTAAGTTCCAAGTATGTGCAAAGACTACTTGCTATAAGGATTCAGAGAATGGAGAGAAGACAAGGGCCCGTGACTGGGGGTGGCTCGGTGGAGAAGAGAGCCAGCGCTGGGCCCAAGAGGCTCACGGTTGTATGTCCTGAAAAGGGTAACTCCCAGCTTGATGAAGTTAATGTAATACGTGCATCTCCAGCTCTTTGGAAGTCAGAGCCTTCCTCGCACAGAGTGAGTTCCTAGCTGATAGATAATAAGCATTCTTTAGTCCAGTAGGTATAAATCAGCTCTTTGCAATCTACAAGAAGGGTCCGTTACTGCCTTTGTCTGGGTGCCTGTTGTTTTAAGCGAAGCACAGGACAGAATGGGATGATCCTTGAGGGCCTTACGATGCAGGGAGTCTGAATTGCTCCTACTGAGATCGGTTTGCAACAGCCTCTTGGCCACCTTTTGCTCTGGATGCTGCTGTAGGATCACTGAGTAGACGAAAGTTTGAAAATCTTTCCAGAATTGATTGTTCCAGGCCATTTGGTGGTCGTTCATCAACAAAGTCTTCCATTCAGCAAATTCGACCAAGCACAAGAAGAAGAAATAAAACTGGTGTCCTGGTCTCCGTTCTTAGTTACAGACACAAACTTTTGAGGGAAAGTACTAACCACTAGATTATGATAGTTGTGGTGTCCGAGAAACCTCTAATTTCAGAAAAAAGCACAAAAACCAAAAAACATTTCATGTTCCATGTTTCCTTGGCCCCTAGTTAGGTGTGCATGATTCATCTTTAAGGTTTTGGGTATTTGCTTTGTTGTTTCTGTGTTTGTTTTTGTGTCCCTTTATGTCAACAACCGCTTGTAGAAAGACACTCCTTCCCTCCACCCGTATTTGTACAAGGGCTACGAGTGCTAAAAATTAGCCTTAACTTGTTTTGCAAGATGGTTTTTGCCAACAGAGGAGAGACTATTTCTGGAGGAAACTTCCATGGTGAATACCCAGCCAAAGTAAGCTTTTTTAGAATTGCTCCTGACCCTGAAAGCGTATTCCAATTTAAGCCAGGTGAACTGAGACACTCTTTCTAGGCCCTAGATTATTTGGCCATTGGAGTCCATGAACTTGCTGCGATAAGTGAAAGAAGAATTGAAAGACTCTGTAACCCCTCCCTCAGCGAGCTGCCTGCCTTCCTGGTGGCTGAAGGTGGTCTCAACTCCGGGTTCATGATTGCGCACTGCACCGCGGCAGCCCTCGGTAAGAATACCGCCCGAGAATACCGCCCGTTCCCCAGAACACAAGCCTGTCCATTTCATCTGAAAGTGTCCAATTTTGTCCTTGAATGCGATCTTTACCCCCCACCTCATTTGCATTCCACCTGACTCGACAGAAATGCAGAAGGGAAGTCTCTTGAACGTTTTTTAGAAAAAAACTGAAGGAAACCTAAACAAAGCTAGACTGAAACATACTAATACCTAATGAGTTTGTAAATGATGAGGTTTCCATAATTTCTCTGTAGGACGCAACTGAATATCATATAGGAAATTCATCTTTGTAGCTTTTTCCCTAATCTCAATTTGAAGACTAGCAGAAGGAAAAGGACAAAGATATCTACAATTAATGGCGAAACTTGGGCTGACTTGAATGATTAAGCTTTGGGTACATTCTATTAGATACACCAGCCACTAAGATCATAAATATGTGATTACAATGTGCAAAAATGCTTATGAGAAGATGCCCTCCATGAAAACTGAGCTTCAGTGTGGCTGATCTCTGACTCCAAACTGTGAGTAACACATCACAGCAGGCTCCAGTACAAAGGATGCACTAAGGGCTTCGTTAATATTTGCTCACTTAATGGTCACAACAATACCACGAGGCGCGTACTATTATTAGCTCCATTGTACAGATGAACACCGGAAGATCGGAGAAGTTAGGTGACGTACCCAACACTGGACAGCTAGTAAGTGGAACTGAATTCAAACCCAGGCATTTTTGTTCTCAAATCCATGCTCTAGCTTCAATTAATGTGGATCTCATTTTAATCTGTATTTAATCCTAAACTATGGTTCCCACATTTAACAAATGGAAATGCAGTATGCGCAGTTAAATTTGAATTACTCGGGACATACTTGTACTAAAAAATTATTTGTTTTTACCTGAAATTCAAAATTAACTGAGCATTCCGTATTTTTTTCAGGCAAACCTACCCAAGAGGCAGGAGAGCCTGTGCTTAATCAAGAGCGTAGACTCTAGGACCAAATTCCAACTCAGTCATTTTTCAGGAGTGAGATATGGAGCAAGTTTCTTAATCCTCTCTCTGTTTACTCCTCCGTAAGATGGGGGTGATGAATTTACCTAATGGGACTGATTTGAGGATTAAATGAATTAATGCATATAAAGCTTTAGAACTATGCCCGACCGTGTTTTAAGCACTAAATAAATATTAGCTGTTATTAATATTGCTCCTAACCCCTTCCTCACTGAAGCCTCACATGAAAACTCACCACAACCCAAAGGAGTCCCTGAATTCATCGTGTCCTCCATCCAGTATCTTCTAATTACTCACGTACCTCCTTATGAAAATACTCCTCTAAGGGTAGCAACTTCTCATACTAATGTAGGGAGGTCGTGGTAACTGCTTTAGAAAACATTAGGGACTTTGGAAAGCTTCATTTGAATGTGTTTGGCTTTCCCTAAACTGCCTATTGAAGTTGTTCAACTTGTCAACTTGCTTTCTTTAGAATGAAACAGGTAGTTTTCTTTTTCAGAGACGTGTAACTTCTCTTTCTAAATAAGCCTCACCACAGACTGTGTATCCATTAAAGCAGGTTTTGGGTCCCAGGACCTGGGACTCACCGTGCTTGAAACCTGGAAAGTTCTGGTCTAGGACGAGCTGACCAGCTGGTCTACATCACTAGATTATCTCAGGATCCCTTATAGCAGGGAGAACAACGGAACCTCACCCAGCCACTCTCGGGAGCAAAAACGTAGGGGAGAAAACTCTCTCCAAGGCTCTGGGAGCAGGGGAGGAGCTCTGGAATGTAGGTCCTCCTCCACATTTAATGTGTTGTCCCTGGGCCAAGAATCCAGTCATCCACTGAGAGTTTGTTAGAACAGCAGAATCTCAGGCCCCACTCGAAACTCAACATTTGCATATTGACAAGATTGGAGTGACTCATGCACAATAAAGTCTGATCTAGGCCATCTCCAGAACTCCTCCCCCTCCCTAAGACGCATCCGGCAGTCACGGAGCCCTTGCTTGAATCCCCCCACTGAACAGTCTGAGCTATGAAATCTCTTTGTGCAAGATCTGTGGGCCCAGTCTCCACCCCCAAATACAACCCTGAATCCTAACGCCTCCTCTGGGGACACAATCAGTCCATTGTTCTCAAGTACTTGGCAAAGTCCATTACGACTTTTTCCCCTAGTCTCCCGGCATGCTAAACGCTTCCAGTGTTTTCAAATAGGGTTTGTAATAGGGTTCCTATCAGTTCTCATCTCAGAACTCACTATTCCCTCCTTTTCCATTTAATACCAACCCAACATGCTTCCTTTTCCCAAAATAATCTGGGACCATCTGGTGCTTCAATACCAACCAAGAGCTCCTGGAGAGGACACTCCGTGCTGTTAGGCACACTGGCAAGCCAACAAGGCAATTTTTCCCATTAGCAGCTTACTTACCTTGCCCTGGCCTCTTGCAGTGTCTGAGAACAAGGTTCTGTGCCACCCCTCGTCTGTGGACTCTCTCTCCACCAGCGCCGCCACGGAGGACCACGTTTCCATGGGAGGATGGGCAGCAAGGAAGGCCCTTCGGGTCATCGAGCACGTAGAACAAGGTAAACCCAGCCGGTCTGGGACGGCGTGCCCCACCAACAAATGACCACATCTGCGGTTCTGCTCGTGGGATCCCTACGGGCAGCAGCGGCATCACCTGGGAACTTGTTAGAAGGGTCGATTCTTAGGCCCAGCCCAAGACCTGCTAAATCAGAAACTCTAGGGAAGAGAGCAGAACCCATCTGGGTTTAACAAGTCTTCCAGGTGATTCTGAAGCTCTCCGAAGATTAGGAACCACACCTGCTGTCTAAGCAGTTTCGCTGGTCGGCTTAATTTTTTAAACAATTAAAAAAACATATTCAAAAGTGGAGAGGTTAGTGCTACAAACCCTCCTGTACACCAACTCAACAGCACATTTGCTTCATTTTTTCCTTGACTTTCTCAAGTTATTTTCACACAAATCCCAACACGTTATTTTCTTCCTGCATACTTTGTCCCTTAAATATGAATGCTTTTTTTTAATCCACCATCATGCCATTCTCATGTCCAAAAAAAATCAACAGTGAGTCTTGGTATCACATAACAAATTGAGTACATATTCAGAATTTCCCAATTTCTCAATGCCTGCATAGTGGGTTTGTTCAAATCCAGATTCAAGGTCCACATTTTAAATTTGGTGGTCAAAGTTGTAAGCCTCTTTTCATCTAGAACACTCCCCTCTCCCATTTTTTTTTTTTTCATGCCACAGACTAGTTAAAAAAACAGGTCAGTTCTTCTGTCAGCATCTAACATTCTGGATTTTTACCTGTTAGCCTCCTCCCGGTGTTACTTTTAACTTGCTATCTGCATGTTATCTCTGTCCCCCACATTTTCCAACGGCTGTGGAAGAATTAACAAGATTCAGATCCGTATCTTTCGGGAGATAGTTTTCTAGGGTGGAGCTGTGTTAGGCCCACCTCTCCCCGCCTTAATGACTGCTTATTTGTTTTTTTAAAGACCAATTGCCTTCCTTTAGGCATTGTTAGCTAAGCTACTAAGTTTTTGCAATTGTATCAGAAGCCGTTGAAAGACAAAAGAATATCACTACAGTAATTCCCCTCTCCGGGAGGGGGAGGAGACGTTCCAAGACCCTCAGGAGAAGCCTGATCCCTCGAGACACCAAGCCCTATGTATACCACGTTTTTCTCCTGTATGGACATACCTGTGATACAGTTTAATTGCTAAATCAGGCACAGTAAGAGATTGACAAGAATAACTAATCAAGTAGAACAGTTAAAACGATATATTGAAATATAAGTTCGGTGAACGTGAGCTCTCTCAAAATAGCTTACTGTGCTTTACTCACTCTTCTTGTGATGAAGGGGGGACGACAGAATGCGTACGCGGCCAGGAGAAGTGAGCAAACGCCTCGGGCGTTGTGAGGTAGCGTTAGGCTACCCTTGACTTTCCGATGGTGATTCGTCAGAAAGAGGCATCTGACGACCCATCAGAAGGCTCACCTGCTTCCAGACCGTGGTTGATTGTGAGCAACCAAAACAGCAGAAGGTGAAATGGCAGATAAGCAAGGACGAAGGTATCCTAAGATAAATGTGGGAGAGTTATGTGCTCTTATTATTGAGATATAATTTATGTACCACACAATCGCTCACTTAAATTGTACACTTCAGTTGTAATTAACGTATTCAGAAAGTTGTGCCATCACTACCACAAATCAATTTTAGAACATTTTCATCCCAAAAAGAAACCTTGTGAAACCTTGTACCCTTGACCCAGCACTCGCCCATTCTCCCTACTCCACCCTGCCCCGAGGTTTAGGCCCCCTAGATGTCCTTTCTCTCTCTATGGATTTGCCTTTTCTGGAAATTCCAAAGAAATGGCCTACAATATCTGATCTTGTGTAACTGGCTTCTTCCGGTCAGCATAATGTGTTCAAGGTCCGTCCATGTGGTGGCATGTGTCAGTGGTTCATTCCTTTTTCATGGCCCAGTAATATTCCATCATATGGCTATACCGCATTTTGTTTATCCATTCATCAGGCGAGGGATGTTTGGGTTTTGGCCACCTTTTGGCTAGTATGAATACTGCTGCTATGGACATTTGTGTACAAGTTTTTGGGCAGACATAATGTTTTCATTTCTCTAGAGTGCAGTTGCTGGGTCATATGATAACCTGTGTTCATCTGTTTCAGGACCTGCCAGATTGTTTCCCAAAGTGACTCTACCATGTTACATTCTTAGCAGCAGTTTTTGAGAGTTCTGAGTTTTCCACACCTTCCCCAACACCTGTTATCATGATCTGCCTACCACGGTGTGTTCCTAATGTCCCCACTGAACATGTTGCTCTGGCCAAAAGCTTAAGGAGTCACCCTTGTCCATTCTCAGATTCTCTATCCAATTCATCAGCAAATCAGACTTACCATCAAAAGACACCGAATCAAGGCTCTGTCATCTCCTTTTGAATGGTCTCCTTGTTTTCACTACTGTTCTTCTACAGTTACCACATGCAATAATCAGGGTGAGGTTCTTAAACTGTAATTTTGACCACACTATGTTCCTGCTGAAAATTTGCCAGTTTGTTCCTTGTGCTCAAACCAAAATCCAGCGCCATTCCTGTAGCCTACAAGGATCATGCGTGATCTGGCTTCTGGCTCTCACTGTCCCCTCTCTCCATTCCATTCCTTACCCTGGAACCACCGTGTTATTCTTGTACCCACCAAGGACACATCCCTAACTCAGCACCTGTGTCCTTGCTGGCCCATCTGCCTGCAACATTGTTCCCCTAGGCCTTCACACGGTTCACTTCTGCATTCTACCTTGGTTGCTGTGCAGATTTTATCTCAGATGTCTTCCCTGTCTACCCCAGCTCAACTTCTTGAAGTTTCCAATTCCTTATGCATAAAGTAAGGGGACTGCACTTAGAAGATGTGAAGTTTCTTCCAGGTCCAAAATGGATCCCATTGCTTCATCCCCTCCCATGGTGTCCTGTCTGTACTCACCAGAGTTTGGAATGGGCTTCATAAATTTTAAGATAAGACACCAAATCTTTTTAATACTCCATTTCAGTTGACCACGTAAATGGTTTGATCAACTTGAAGCTTTTTTGTTATTTTCTTGGCAAATAATGGAATCCAAAAGTAGAGAAATTTAGATTTCAATATTCAAAGCTGATAGCAAGGTATGGTACATTTAATAAGAGTTCTTAACTAGGGAAAAAAAAAACATGTAAAGACTGTTTTATCAAGAAACCTAAAGTTGGCAAGATACTAGTTTCTACAATTTGAGTTTTAGTGGGCTTGGGAGCCTTTGAGTTTGAAGGCTCGAAAGAACATTGTAGAATTATGCAGCGCAACAAAAGACTGCTTTGCTCCTTCCCTGGCTCATTCAGTCCTTTGACGAAAGTCTATGTGCCAGGTATTTCAGCCCCAAGAGAAGCAGCAAGACTAAAACAAATAGAAATAGGACACAGATGTCATCCATCTTGATCAGATGACATAAGAAGGAGAGCACTAAGACATTTACCTGTACAGCACTCCCCTTCTAAACGTTAAAGATCCAGCCAGTGGGGTAGAAGAGGAAATTTTTGAATGGTAACCAAATACCAAAGCAGCTCTTTCTACCAAAAGACCGAGAGACAACCATCTCTCAGTTGGCGAGAGCTGGCTGACAACTTCCACGTGAGTGATATCCCCCCGCACGAAGTTGGCTTCAAACAGCTGTCCCCTCCACTTTTCTCATAGTGCTGGCCATCGAGCTCCTCGCAGCCTGCCAGGGCATAGAGTTTCTACGCCCCCTGAGAACAACCACTCCTCTGGAGAAGGTCTACGACCTCGTGCGCTCTGTTGTAAGGTAAAGACAAACAGGTCCCCGGGTGTGACATCATTTCAGGACTGTGAACCCTGGCCACAGTTCGTGTTGGGCTGATGGTCTGATGTGCTTTCTGTGCAGGCCCTGGATAAAAGATCGCTTCATGGCTCCAGACATTGAGGCAGCGCACAGGCTGCTCGTTGAGCAGAAGGCAAGTTGGCCACTTGGCTTCCTTCTTAGTTTTGGGTCATTATGGGAAAGCAAAATGGGAGTGGGAACTGCAGAAATACTGTCTTATTCTTTTGTTTCCTGTCTCTTCCTTGGAAGTGAACAAAAAGGAACTCGAGCAACTTCCAAGGCAACTAAAAAGCTCTTTGATAAACTCTTAAGTGTCCCGTGTTGCATCTAAACATTGACTATCTAGCAATTAGAAACTGAAAGGACTTTAAATGGAGTTTGGGACAGGTACTCCTGAGGAGAAAATGAGATGAAAGGTTCATGGATCCCCTTCACCAAAAATATCCTCTTTTGTTCAAAAGCACGTTCTATTTCCATGATGTTATCACTGCCTCCTCCAACGAGCCCAATAACTAAACGGACCTCAAGACAAAACAAAGTCCCAGGATTTTTTTTTTAAAGATTTTATTTATTTATTTGATAGAGATCACAAGTAGTCAGAGAGGCAGGCAGAGAGAGGAGGAAGCAGGCTCCCTGCCGAGCAGAGAGCCCAATACGGGGCTCCATCCCAGGATCCTGAGACCATGACCTGAGCCAAAGGCAAAGGCTTTAACCCACTGAGCCACCCAGGCACCCCAAGTCCTAGGGTTTTACTTCAAAGGTGTTTGGGTCTGTCTAGCGCTGTGGTGTTGTCCCGCCCGTCATCCTGGGTGAGATTCGGGTTCTCTTTACTGCTTATTTCCTCTGGCTTCATTGACTATAGATTTATCCAATAGGGACAGATGCCTCATAGGCTGACTTTTTTTTTTTTAAGATTTTATTTATTTATTTGACAGAGAGAGACAGAGCAAGAGAAGGAACACAAACAGAAGGAGAGGGAGAAGCAGGCTTCCCGCTGAGCAGAGAGCTCAATTGGGGGCTCGATCCCAGGATCCTGGGATCATAACCTGAGCCGAAGGGAGATGCTTAACTGACTGAGCCACTCAGGCACCCCTAGGCTGATTTATTTTTTAAATATATTTTTTAAAGTTCTTTGAGCCTTTTGTTGTGATTTGTGGGCCTCCTGTTCTCTAGAATTTCTTGATTTCCCCTGGAACCATTGCTCTGCTCTTGGGGAATGACTTTTCCCTCTGATCCTCACAGCTGTCATTCCCAGGTTGTGCCCTACTCTCTTTGAGGGGCCTTGCGTGTTGCCAACTTTGGTGCTCGTAGAGAGGTGTGTGAGAGGTTAGCCTTTTTTAATTGAAATAGACCTGACATACAGCATTATATTTGTTTCAGGAGAACAACAGAATGATTTGATATCTGTGTATTTTGCAAAACGATCGCCACGATAAGTCTGGTTAACATCTGTCACCGTACTCAGTTACAGTTTCTTTCTTTTCCTGATGAGAGCTTTTACGGTCTACTCTCTGAGTAACTTTCAAAGAGACAATACAGTGTAATTAACCATAGTCACCCTGTTGCATTTTCTATCCCCAGGATTTATTTATTTTAAAACTGGAGGTTTGTTCCTCTTGACACCCTGTACCCATACTGCTCACCTTCTACCCGCCTCCTCTGGCAACCGTCAGTCTGTTCTGTGTATCTATGAGCTCCGTTTGTTGGCGTTGCACTAGATGCCACATATCATAGTATCTGTGATTCTGACTCATTTCACTTAGCATACTGATCTCACAGTCCATTCAGATTGTCACAAATGCCAAGAGTGCCTTCTTCTTTACGGCTGAATAATACACACACACACACACACACCCTGCATTGTCTTTATCCATTTGTCTGCTACTGAAACCCCAATTTGGCTGCCCATCCCTTGAAAGACCAACACTCGAGAGATGAGTTTTGATGGGAAAGGACTTTGAGCTCTGTTCATGAGGCCAGCCACCTAGGGAGAAGCCGGACTCTTGTCCCAAAGCCCACTCCCAGGTTTTGCCTGGCCCAGAGTTATTTAAAGGGGTTTAATCAGCTAAGGGAGTACAGTGGTCTGTGACATTTCTTGCCTACCTGCAGACTTGATGATGGCAGCTACAGAGTCATCTTGGTGCTTGGTGGTTGTGCAAATTCTGGTTTTTTGGTGCCTAGGGTGGAGGTCAGTTGAGCAAAGAGGTCTGGTTCCTTGGTACCCAGAGGTGGAGCAAGAGTGTCCTATTCTTTCTACAAAGGAGGGCAAGAGCTACAGATGCACAAAGGGAGGGTCAGGAAAGTCATTTATGTGTGTGACCTTAAAAAAGAAAACCATTTTGATAAAGATTGCTGGGTTAGGCAGAAAGCCAAGGCAGTTCCCAACAGATTTGCTGGCCTCTGGGGCCTGGGAAAGTTCTGGTCCTTCATTCCCCAAGGCCAGAGGTCTGCAAATCTCAAAGAAAGTCAGTTAATTCTGTTACAGATCAAGGGCCTTAGGTCAGCAAGCAAGAAGTGTGTTACCTTGACTCAAGATAACCCTGAAGACCGGCTGGAGCGCTGCCGCACACCCCTCGGTGGCCACCAATGTCTGGCAGTTTGTAAGTAACACTGCAGTGACCGTGGAGGCGCCCCCTCCTGTTTTCGAGGAACTTAGCATTTGCAAGGATACATTTTCTAAGGTAATACAAAAGGAAAGGAAATGCTCCTTGGTTGTTAGCAACAAGCTGATAAAAAGCAGCTGTAGGGGCACCTGGATGGCTCTGTCGGTTAAGTGTCTGCCTTCGGCTCAGGTCATGATCCTGTGGTCCCGGGGTCCCAGGATCCAGACCCGCATGGGGCGCCCTGCTTGGCAGGGAGTCTGCTTCTCCCTCTGCCCTTCACCCCATTCAGGCTCTCTCTCTCACTCAAATAAATAAAATCTTAAAAGAGAAAAAAAAAAAAGCAGCTGTGAATCAAAAACAGGACCTGAACTTGAGAAGAGGAGATTCCTGAAACAGAATAGGCTGGTGCGTGGAGCTGTAGAGTAAGCAAGGGTCTGAAACGCCCCTTCTCAAACTTTCCTGTGCATATGAATCTCCTGGGGGTCTGGTTCTAGGGGAGGCCGATGCCGCTGGCCCACAGGAGGCTGTGGGAGCAGCAGGAGTGGAAGGAATCGAGCGCTGGGCAGCTCAGCCAGTTACGGGTCTGCTTTTGGCTCAGCTCATGATCTCAGGGTGCTGGGATGCAGCCCTGCATTGGGCTCCCTACTCAGCGGAGAGTCTGCTTCTCCCTCTGCCTGTCCCTTAGCTTGTGCATGCTCTCTCTCTCACAAAATAAGTAAATAAAGTTAAAAAAAAATTTTTTAAGGGCGTAAGGGGTAGAGCACATGTGCCATGGAAACCCAGCAAACAAGGAAATCCGTTGCGCTATTCAAAGCTTGCTTTAGAAAACGCACATGCATACCTTTGAGCAACTTTCCTTAATTCCGTCCACACTGAATCGTCTGGGTTTTGTTTCTGTGTTGGCTTGTTTTGATTCCAAAGAGTAAGCAGCTGAAAACCCTCCCGGGAAACTTTAGAAAGGCTTTGGACTTCGTATTTTAAAAGCTGTTAATGCAACCAAAGTCTAATGCATACAGATTGGGTGTCGAATGAAAGCAAGCAAACAGCTGCTAGGTGCCTGCCTGGTCAGCTCGTGACGTTTTGATTCGATGAAGCTGATGTTGACTGACATGTGAGGACAGTGTCGTCAACATTCTGACTCTGCTTTATCCCTCTCAGGTCTGGGAGGTTGCTGCCCCATACATCGAAAAATACAGAATGGAACATATTCCAGAATCCAGACCGGTTTCTCCAACAGCCTTTTCACTGGAATCTCTACATAAGAAATCCACCAAAATCCCCGAGTCCGGAGATCTTTGACAGGCTTTGTCATGGATCAGTGGATCAGAGGGTCCTTGGTTGAACAGCAAGCAATATTATGCTGAAGAAGAGACCTGAGGACTTTCCTAAGTACATCAACCCATTATGTTGTTCGGTCCTTCTACAACCTCCTTTGCTTAGGCTGGTAACGGCATTAGCATTGCTCACTCTAGCACTGTGTTCTTGTTGACCTGGTTTGAGACACAGAAGTTGTTTTCAGATTATAGTTTTCTTTCTTCCTTAACAATATCAACAGGCCACAGACCACTTCATTCATTTGATCTCAAATTTTGAAACAGATTGGTATTTTTTTCCAAAAACATTAGATTTTACGAATCTCTTTCTCTTCTCTTCCTCCTCTTCCTCTTCTCCTTCCCTTCCCCCTCGCCCACCCTCCTCCTCCCCCTTTGTCCTCCCCTCCTCCCTCCTCCCCGTCCTCCTCCTCCTTCTTCTTCTTCTTTTACGGTTTGACCAGATCTCCACTAGATAACTTTGGCTGATTGAATTATACCATGATATGATGAATGTTCTCACTAGGCCTTCATCAACAACTTCTTTTGAAGTCATAATTTGTCCTGAAGCGTCTCTTTCTTCTAGTAATCGCCTCAGAGTATAGTCAATAGGTCGAGAGGTTTTGTGTAAAGGATTACTATTGGAGTGGCCCTTACTGATATTTGTCAAATATCACTATACATCTCTATCTGGCTATCTGGCAAAACATTGTACATCTCAAAAAAAATCTCAGATGCTTAAGCTGGAGTTAGAGGTTAGTATTATTACCTTCTTCCCGTGGGTTAGTACTTTATTCACAGTCCTCTAACAACCCTGCGTTGAGAAGCCTCCTGTCTCACAAATAAGGAATCTTACGTTCAGAAGTAACTAACCCCTTCTCTGTAATGATAACCCTTAAAAGGGGGAACTCTTGACAAAGGTCCACGGGGCCCTGGGCTGTGTTACCCAATCGGTTTTTTCCTCAAAAAAGAAGACAAAGGACCATCTGGGAAGACTTAAGTATAATCACCCAAATGAAAGATGAGTCAGATGACCTCTTCGCTTCGCAAGGCTAACTCTGTGACTTTGCACCTACGTGTGCGAATGTGTGCAAGGGGCTCCCCGTGCAGGAGACCAGAGCCACGGCTCCAATAATGACAGTAGGCCAGATACACTTGCCAACTTGCCTACCCGCTTCCAGCCTAAAATGGGTCCAACAGTGTATTTCACAATAGGGTTTCTCTCTTTAGATGGCGGTCGGTCTCTAGCAAAAGGTGGACACCGAGGGGAAAACGGCTGCCCACAGCAATTCAGTGACCAAAATGGGCTGAGGAGCCTGTTTACGGAAAGGCTGTTCTGGGTACCATCCTTTGCCAAAACGTGAAAAGGCACAAATGAGGCTTCTTTGTGCTTAGCCACGAACCCCAGTCGAGCCAGTAAACCCAGTCGTCTGATGGCTGCTCTTCACTCCAGTGTGGGAGGGTTGGGTCCCTACAGGCCACTGTGGTCTTCCCGGGCACTTTATGATCAAGCTTTCGAGGCAGCTCCGTGAGAAACGGGTTATCACATGCCACCAAGAAATGTCAAGGTAACCGTGGAAAGACTCCGTCTGTTGTCTTATGTTGTCACGATGTTCTTAGATTTTTACAACCAAGTGTAGTGCCTCCTTAGGGAAAGGCTATTCGAGCTGCAGTTAATCAAGCTTCTGAAAGGTTTAGACAATGAATGTTATTAGCACATGGCCATGTATCCTTAGAAAGTGTGGTTGGTTTGGGTATACTTTCTCCATCCCAGGGGAATGGCAGGAAGAGTTAGAAGCATCTCGATTTCCTCCCAGCAGGCTCACCCGGGCTTCTTCTCCTGCCATCTCAGGGCAGCCAGAGGGCAAGCCCCGGAGCCTTTGGGCTCTTCTGCTTTCCAGTGACACACTTGCTAATGTCCTGGTGGCCAAAGCCAGTCGGGGAGAGTGCTACTCAATGACGTTGGGATGTGATCTGCGGTCCATCACTGTTAACAATCTACCACATACATAAAAACCAAACACAGAACCTGAAACATTCAAGACGCTTTTCATTACTACTTTAAACTTGAGCCTCATCTTTGTATCTGGTCATGGGATTGTTACCATTTTATTAAACCTTCTCATTATCTCATGAAGAGCACGGTCATTTTGCATTTGGGGGGTTATTTGGTTAAAGGTGTTAACTTACTAAATGTGAACATTAAAAATATACCAAAAATCAAAGCCAAGAGATGTGTTTCAGGCCGCGGCATAGGCCGGGTTAGTCACGAGGTGTCTCATTCCCTTGGCTTAGTGACCAGTTCAGGAAATGGTTGAGGTCGCGATTTGGGCCAATGAGATGGAGACGACTTTTACTGGAAGCTTTGAGAAAATGTTTTCTCTCCTGAGAGCCATGGTAGCCAGGCTTTCTCATCCACCTATCTGAGGTGAATGAGGAGGAGGCACAGAACCCCAAGGGCTGTTGAAAGTCAGCCCAGCTCATTGAGGAATCCGGCCGTGGGGTGATGCCAAGGCTGGGTGACAAAGCAGAAGGAAGGAGGGAATCTGAGTCTTTGGCATTACTGAGCTGCTGAATAAACCAGTCCTGAAGCCTGTCTGTCTGGTGAATTTCCAAGGGTGATCTAATATGCTTCCTTATTTTTACAAGCAGTTTTTAGTCAGATTTTGAAATCCATAGCTGTTGGCATCGTCCCTACCACTGCTATTTCTGAGGTGCCGTATGGGGCTATACAGTACATCGGTACGGCATGTAGTCCTGTATTCAAAGACTTCACCCAGTTGGGAACATGAAATGGCCATTACTGTGCCAAGCGTGTGTCCATATAACCACAGCACCTTTGGATCATCAGGGAAGCTTCCTGGAGGAGGTGACTGAGCTGGGTTCTGAGTGATGGCAGTCAGAGAGAGAAGGGAGGAAAAGGAGAAATGGAAGCTAAATGTCAATGTCAGAAGACATCTGTGCCAGGAAACCAAGTCTCCATTTGTTCATTTCTATCATTAAATAAACGGTGACCAAGATAACCCTGGTCTTTGCCCTCCCGGCGTATAGGCTAGGTAGGCAGCGGGTCCAGAGGATTAAACAAACAGGGGCGATGTGCAAGCAGGAAGATGGGAAGGTTGGGAAGTAGCAGCCAGGATCATCATGGAGAGCATGAGAACTTGTGCTAATAGTCCAGCAGGGGAAACGAAAGTCTGCCAGCTCAGGACACCTCAGATCTCAAGGGTGGGTAGGCCAGGACGGACCTCCATGGCTCACGGGTAGTTCCCACACTCAGGGCGCCGGGTTCCTGAAGCCAGCAGTAGCTGCAAGTGAACCACTTGGACAAGATGTGCCTTCATATTTTGGAATAACTTTCCACCAGATCAAAATCTAAGGGGCTGGCATTGACTTTATCCTTTTATTGCTGACTGTAATAAAGACCAAGGTGCTCATGCTTGCGGGGCTATCTGGCAAAACATATTTCAATTTCAAAAGTACTGTGTTTCACCAGAGTTCCTTTTAGGAGAACCCGCTCTCAGTGCACCCTGGCTTTGACTCTACTCTTGAATGCCGGTCTTACCGCCCTCATTGGATCGTAAATTCCCTGAAGGCAGGAGACAGTCTAGCACCAGAATTTCAGAGATGGAAGGAATCCAACTTCTACAGATGAGGAGTTCGGGAAGAAATCAAAGCCCAGATGTCAAGCCCCAGATGTGTGTTTCCTCCAGCACGCCACGCTACCTTGTCTTTCTCCCGTGGCATCTGGCATGTGTCCCCCTCAATTCAGTGGGGAGTGATATTGTGCACAGGGAGGCAAAAATTGGTTCTTGGGAGGCAGAAGAACTCACATGTTATGATGGTTTGTGGTCTTCCAAAGCTCAATCCTATCTGACAAAATCTTATTCCTTAGGGAGAAATTTAAGTTCCTCCTGGTGGGGGTGAGGGGAGGCCTGACAACTGTAAAAGTTTGAGAAAAGAAACATTGATCTAGCTCACTGGGGAGCACAGAGTAGCAGTTTTCACATCTCACTCACTGATGTGAGGGCTTTCCAGCTGGACTTTTAGCACCTGATACCTCCTGCTCTCTCCACCAAAGGACTGGTTCAAGGTATCTTGTCAGAGTCCATTCATACAACAGAATTTGAGTGCCTACTGAGCACACTAAACCAGACTCATTTTTCCTACAGTACTCTTGTCCTGGTCCTAACTTGTTCAAAAATTTTCAGTGGCTTTTCCTACCTTGAAGAATGAGACTCCTACTAGCAAGGCTGACATTCAAAGCCCTGTGAAATCTGACCCAGCCCTAGCTCCCCAAGGAGCTAGTAGGGTTCATCACTGATCTTCTGAGCACCTCATAATGTTCCATCCTGGAACCTGGCTTTCTCATCGAAATCCTGCCAACCCCCAAAGCTAAGAAGGGCAGCCCACCTCTCCACCCAACCATGGAACTGTTTCTTTGGTTTTGCTTTTCTAATTTACTCCCCCCATGAGCATCATCCTTTGGTATTATATTAAAGGAACTCATATGCTCTTTTCAATCCACAAAACAAGTATTTTTCTTAACACTGTCTTTCTGGGTTGGCCTACTTGGTGTGATTTAATTAAGTAATTTTCACTGTGACTACCAGTATGTTTGTACGGCCATCCATGAATTCATTTACTGATCACCTGCTATGAACCTGTCACCACGCTAGATCCTGGGGCATGAGGTGGGGCCCTGCCCTCTACCAACTTCCATTCTAAAGGGAAAGACAGTTAAAACACCGTGCCATGAAGGCTAGCATGGACGATGGGCGCATTGTAGGGTTGGGGAGGGACTAGCTCTGCTTTCCCGCATAAAGAAGAGAAGGAAAGCAGTCCAGGCAGAAGGAACGGGCTGCAAAGCCTGGAATAGCAAAAGCAAACCGTTTTGAGGCACAGTGTGACAGCCGGTGTGGCTAGGGTCGAGACTGCAGCACTTAACAAGCGTACAAATAACCTGGCAGGGAGTTAAGAAACACATTCCGATTCAGAGGTCTGGGGTGGGGCCGAGGTTCTCATTACCAGCAAGCTCCCAAGTGGCAGGACTAACAGGACACTGGCCTGGAAGGACGAAGGCAGTTCTGGGTGGGTATCCTCTTCTGCTTTCATTTGAAAAAGACATTAACGCTCTTTGTTTCAAGCGAATGTCTCCTAGACAGAGAATAGGATTCACTTCCCCTACTTATTCCATAGGTATCAAGATAGACTTGCGGGTTTGAACAGACCTCATATTTAGTTTTGGCCTTTGTATTTATTGCCTGCATCCCAAACTCCTACCCTTGTATAGGTGGTCATAGGGGAGGCATCACCCA